CTGGGCAGGAGAGGGGAAAAAACCAAAACCCAACAAATACCCACACACGCATTTTTGTAAAGGGAATCCCTCTTTTTCTCCTGGATTTGTGGATGCACCGATGAGAGATCCAGCCTTCCCAGGGACTGCCATGGCTTACCACCCCTTCCACGCACCCCGGCCGGCTGACTTCCCCATGTCAGCTTTCCTCGCAGCCGCCCAGCCGTCCTTTTTCCCGGCTCTGGCTCTGCCTCCGGCGGCGTTGGCGAAGCCCATGCCGGACCCGGGGCTGGCCGGGGCGGCCGAGGCCGGGCTGCACGTCTCGGCCCTGGGACACCACCACCAAGCCGCCCATCTGCGCTCGCTCAAAAGCCTGGAACCCGAGGAGGAGGTCGAGGACGACCCCAAAGTAACGCTGGAAGCCAAAGAGCTTTGGGACCAGTTTCACAAGCTGGGCACCGAGATGGTGATCACCAAGTCCGGGAGGTAAGAGCCGGCCCCGCGCAGCCCCCCCTGCCCGCCCCGCACCTGCGCGGCCGCGCAGCGCCCTCGCCCCTCGCCCCTCTCTCCATCCCGCTTCCCATTCGATCCCGTGAATTAACGCCGGGAGTTTCGATCCCTGGAGTTTTTCGGAGATGTTTTCCCCCCGCTCCTCCGATCTTTCCCGTCACCGCTCCCCCCGCCTCGCATTATTACTTTTCCGAGCGCGATCCCGAATTAAATTCGTGCGCGTTAATCGAGCGCTCGGAACCCCCCGCTCCCGTTGTTTACGCCGCTTCCCGCTGCTTCCTTCCCTCCTGCCAAACTTTCCCCACGTCCGAGGTCGTCCCCGGCCCTGCCCGTGGCCCCGAGCCCGGGGGAGGCAGCCCGAGGTGCTGAGCGAGCGGGTCTCAAAAGGCGGAGAAATGAGGGAAAACAAGGATATGTTTTCGCCCCTTATTTCCCGGAATGGGATTTTTGAGCTCTTTCCCTGCTTTCTGCCACGGTGTGGGCAGCAGAGCAGGATGAGAAGAGGTGGGACGTGAGGAAGGCTGGGAACCCTCAGCGAGCCAAAGTAAAAGATGGTGTTTTGGGAGCAGCAGCGGGGCCGGGCGGTACCGGGGGTCGCTGGGGTCGGTCCGGGCCGTGCCGGGGGCTCGGTGGGGCCGCGGCCGTCGGGGGTCGGCGGCGGGCGGGGGCAGCCCTGTACTGCTCTGGGTCTCTCCGCAGGAGGATGTTCCCCCCGTTCAAGGTGCGGGTGAGCGGCCTGGACAAGAAGGCCAAGTACATTTTGCTGATGGATATAGTGGCGGCCGACGACTGCCGGTACAAATTCCACAACTCCCGCTGGATGGTGGCTGGCAAGGCCGACCCGGAGATGCCCAAGCGCATGTACATCCACCCCGACAGCCCGGCCACGGGGGAGCAGTGGATGGCCAAACCTGTTGCCTTTCACAAGCTCAAGCTCACCAACAACATCTCGGATAAGCACGGCTTTGTAAGTGCGGCTGCGGGGCAGAGCGGAGCCCCCCGGGCAGGGACCCCGGGGTTTGCCCGGTGCGGGGTTTGCCCGGTGCGGGGGCTGCCCGTGATCTCCCCGGAGAAACCGCGGGGCTTTCGAGCCTCCTGCAGCCGGGTCGGCCTGAGCGGCGGGGCCTGGCCGGGCCTTGCGGTGGCCCGGCTGTCCCGCAGCCCCCGCTCGTGCCCGGCACCGAGGGGCAGCTCCCGTTCTCCGGGGGAAAAAGGAGAGTTGGGCTGCGGGCAGCCTCGGGCTCCCCTTGGCTCCCACATCCCCGGCCTCTCCGGCATCTCCTGCTGCGTCTTGCCAACCTTCGAGGCTCTGTGGGGAGAGAATTTTGGGAGGTGGATGTGCGGGGCCGAGGCGTGCGGGGCTGCAGCGAGGGCAGCCCCGATGGGGCGGTGGCCGGACGGGGG